CTTTGGCCGCTGCCCACATGGCCGGCGTAATCCTGGACTCGTCGGGAGCATCTACGGGTTGTCCACGAGCCACAAGGTAACCGACAACCGGAGTCGCACCAAATTGGGCTGCCACGTGTAGAGGAGTAAATCCTAAGAATTTTGGAGTCTTTGTTACAGTGAATTTACAGAATGAAAAAGCTACAAACCCTCTACATCTCGTTTTTCCACTTGAGCACCATTTGTCACCAAAAATGCCACCATAAGCACATGCCCTTGCCGGGCAGCCCAGTGCAGAGGTGTCGACGCCAACACTCCACCGACGGCATTGACGTTGGCTCTCCTTCGTAAAAGAAGCTCAGCTACCTTAAAACGGAACAAATTGAAAAAACAACTCTAAGGTAGAATACTTTCAACTGAAGAGGCTACACAAGAATTTTGATTTGAGAAGGAGGGGGGAGAAGATAGTTAAGCGCACACTAGACTTAGAGTGGCCGAAAAAATAAAAAAAATTACTTTGAAAGCTCCTAAAAATTGCATGGATATGTACACTTTGAATCAAAGGGATTGACGGCTGGAAGGCGGGGCTTCGAATCCTAACCAAGGCTAGAGAATGATCAGAGCATGCTCGCGACAGAGAGGCACATGCGACGCGGGTGCGAGCGGAAGCCTTCCAGCCGCCAACTTGAGTCAAAAGGTATATAGAATTTTTACTATCAGATTACCGCAGTAAAAGAGCTCTTCTAAACTGTCAAGTACAAAAAAATCCGATAGGGACCTTCCGTAATGAAGGAATTTTACTCTATAAAACAGTTCAACAGTAAAGAAAAGTCTCTCAAAACTCTCACATGTAACCGGTTGTTGATGGCAGCCCAATGAAGAAGTGAACATTCATCAGAGTCAGTCCAGTCAGGAGTTATAGCACCTGTAAAAATATGATGAACGAGTCAGGTTAGTGTTTGAGCTTATGAAAGTGGAAAAAGTCAAATTTATATTCATCACAATGTTGTTTGACCCAGACTGGCAATATATTTGCTTTAATGTTTTTTTTCCAGATAGCTGCCAAATTACAACGTAAACTAGAAGTCTCCAGTAAACTACCGTAACTGTTTCAATGCAAGCAAGCTGACCAAATAAAAATTTTTGTTATGCGAGATTAGTTATCCGTAGCATTCATTTCAAAATACGAGTGTTGCGAAGGCGAATGGACTGTGAATTAAAAGTATTTTTGAAGGCTGCCCTCCTAGTTCCCCAGTTTTTCGTAAAAAGTGAAAACTGGATAACAAGACTTGTTGTGTTGAAATTTCCTATTTGAGTGATTCCCAGCGTGTTTCAAGAGTAGGACCATTCAAATGCTCAAATACTAATGACCACTCAAAAATTAGAGTTCATTGCTGCACAGCAGCTGTCATAATTTTTTTCTCCCTCCCCCCTCCCCCCTTTCTAACCCCAAACCGCTTCCATTCCTACGGGATAAACAATCATTACGCGTTCAATGATGTTTCCCTACAAGCCAAAACAGGAAGGTGAAATGAGCGAAAGGACAGGTGGATAAACCGCCAAAGGTGAGCGAAAACAATCCACCAATGCAAACTGGATAGAGAAATTCTGACCATCAGTAGCGATGAACGATAGTTGGATGATTGTTCATAGAAGATAGTACACTTTCTAGCAAGAATATTTGACTAACAAAATCCATATTATCGAGAAAGAATTTGGGCTATGGGAATCTCTTTTACACGGTCTATCTGTCGCAGTTATTTTTTCCGCCTAAAGCGCAGTATAGGCTTTAGATTGAAATGTTATTAACTATAGGATAATTGAAATTTTTTCCAAAAAACTAACCACTATCAAGAAGTTGTTGTAACCTTTCAACGTTCCCGTATTGTGCAGCTTCACGGGGATCCATGACACAGCTTACCCAACCCCGATTCAGCTGAAGGTCATAGGTTTCTGGAAAACGGGAATTTTATGCAATTTATTAGCTGTCGAAGAGAAAAATCGAATTTAAGCGAGAAACAGAATAAAGTTTAAGAAGATGGACACTTT